CAGATCCCCCGCTTTCCTGGGGCCTTTGGAGTGCTTTCCCCCCGAGGCGGTCTTGGACCCCTCGGCGGTCTGGCCCTCCTCCGAGCCGGTTGAGGGCGGAAGTACGGGGCCTTTCCCTGTTGTCATTATGGCGGTCCCGGGACTGAACTTCCTGGGAGGACGTGTCTTGGGCCACCACCCCCTCGTCGTTCCTCACCCGAGGGGTGGGATTTCCGAAGGAGTGTGGCAGAGGGGGAAGTATGATGTTTTCCCCAACCTGAGGGTGAGCTGGAGCCAGGGTGCCGAAGGCACCCAGGTTCTGGGTGAGCGTTTGGATGAAGGCGGAGAGCGCCGATTGTACGTCGATGGTGAGAACCGGAGGGCTGACTTGGTCATCGCTCCGGTTTTTCTTCTTGGCTTCGATGCCGAGGTGGGCATCGGGGGCATTTTGTTGGATCTGAAGGCATAGGTCGACAGCCGCCTGTTCCAGCCCCGGCGATGACACCGCCCTTGGGAGCCCTGTGAGAGGCTTCGGGGGCGTTGACGTCGCCGAGGGCCAGGTTCTCTTCTTCTACGTTCTTTGAGTTGGCACGTGTTGTCCTCACCATTTTGATGGAGGGCTAGTGTTTTGCGTTTGATCGAGGGGGAGGGTTTCTTACTTGATTGTTCGACCTCTCAACGAGAGCACCAAATGATGGATAGTCTACCCGGGGGTATATATCCGAAGGGTTATTACGGAGGATAACTTAGAGAGAAGTCAGAGCAGGTAAGTAAAAGTAGAGAGAGAGTGTATTCAGTATGAATGCCGTTTTCAGCGTGGTTACAAATGGGGAAATGGGGTGCTATTTATAGTAGCAATAAATGCCGGGCAGGGACACATGTCAAGCGCTCATTGGCCGAGGGGTCACCTCAACTGGTTGGCGCTGGCAGCCGCATGTGGCCGCATTTAATGCGGCTGTTGGATGGGACGTCTGCGCAGGGTACGGTGATCTGTACGCATGTGAGGCGGATATCTTGTCGAGTGAGATGCCTTCGGCCATAGAGCAGTAGCCGAAGGCTCCTCCAACCGAGGGCACCTTTCGCCGAGGGCTCACAGTACCGAGGGCTACTGTTTTCGCCGTTTTCTCCCAGTTTCTTAGTTTGCTTGAGAAACCCGTTCTGTGAGGGTTTAGACCCTTCGGTCAGGGGCAGAAGGCACCCCTGGTGCGTAGTGCGGGCTGCTTGGTACTCGGGGCACTGTGATTTGGGCCTGTCGGGCCTTTTGGGCCTGTTGGGCCTTCGCTGGAGTAGTAGGAGTCTGTGGGTCGGGGGTTCCCGGGCCATATACTCCATCACTTGGTCATCGCTCCGGTTTTTCTTCTTGGCCTCGATGCCGAGGCGGGCATCGGGGGCATTTTGTTGGATCTGAAGGCGTAGGTCGACAGCCGCCTGTTCCAACCCAGCGATGACACCGCCCTCGGGAGCCCTGTGAGAGGCTTCGGGGGCGTTGACGTCGCTGAGGGCCAGGTTCTTGTCTTCTACGTTCTTTGAGTTGGCACGTGTTGTCCTCACCATTTTGATAGAGGGCTAGTGTTTTGTGTTTAGTCGAGGGGGAGGGTTTCTTACTTGATTGTTCGAACTCTCAATGAGAGCACCAAATGATGGATAGTCTACCCGGGGGTATATATCCGAAGGGTTATCGCGGGGAATAACTTAGAGAGAAGTCAGAGCAAGTAAGTAAAAGTAGAGAGAGAGTGTATTCAGTATGAATGTCGTGGTTTTCAGCGTGGTTACAAATGAGGAAATGGGGTGCTATTTATAGTAGCAATAAATGCCGGACAGGGACACGTGTCAAGCGCTCATTGGCCGAGGGGTCACCTCAACTGGCTGGCGCTGGCAGCCGCATGTGGCCGCATTTAATGCGGCTGTTGGATGGGACGTCTGTGCAGGGTACGGCGATCTGTACGCATGTGAGGCGGATATCTTGTCGAGTGAGATGCCTTCGGCTATAGAGCAGTAGCCGAGGGCTCCTCCAACCGATGGCACCCTGGTGCCGAGGGCTCACAGTACCGAGGGCTACTGTTTTTGCCGTTTTCTCCCAGTTTCTTAATTTGCTTGAGAAACCCGTTCTGTGAGAATTTAGAGCCTTCGGCCAGGGGGCCGAAGGCACCCCTGGAACGTAGTGCGGGCTGCTTGGTACTCTGGGCGCTGTGATTTGGGCCTGTTGGGCCTTCGCTGGAGTAGTAGGAGTCTGTGGGCCGGGGGTTCCCGGGCCATATACTCCATCAGTTTTGTTCAAAACTTTTTGACAATAAGACTATTGAGAGGTTAATTATATAGTTTAAAAATCGATGGCTCTGATACCATTTAATTTTCACGCCCCGGACCGCATCCGAGCCACGTAGACAACCACCGTACAACCCGATAAGAACAACCTTAGTTCATCCTTATTGAATCATACCAGGCGTCCGATAGATTCTATTGCCAAACCGATTAGTAAACACATACAATCAACATCAATATCATAATCATACATATGCGGAAGTAGAATGTATGATACTTAGCCACACGTGGCAAACACGGGCTCGCCGGCCCCCAAATGTGTTAATAGAAAACATTGTTTAAAAATATCTATGAGCAGTTTATAAATTTTAAATAAGAATGGAAGCACGAACCACGTCTTCCTCCTTGATCAATCACCCTAGGCAAAGATGCAGGTAGAAGGACTCTAGCCTTAACCTGAAAAAATGTGAGGGCCCCCGAAGGGGTCAGTACTCCATAGAAGTACTAGTGACAAGCAGGCTATATGCGGAATAACTAACGTTTCAGACACGAGACCCAAAAAAAAAATAGGGTGATACATATATTTAGATGTGACTCATCCACCCGATGATACATATTGTATATATATATTTGTAAAATACTCAACCCGTAGGTTATTTCTCTAAAGGAGTCCTTTAGAGATAAAGTTCTTACCTGGCTTTACTCACTCCTTTCCCGGATGCCTAGCTCACAAGCTATGGTCTACCTTCGATTCATACTACCGAGTGTTTTAGGATCATTTACCGTCCAAGGCACTCAACCCAACCTGGAGTATTTAGGATCATGTACCGTCCAAGGGTACCAACCCCATCTGGAGTATTCTAGATCATTTACTGTCCAATGGTACTCGACCCCACCTGGAGTATTTTGGATCATTTACCATTCAAGGGTACTCAACCCCACCTGGAGTATTCTGGATCATTTACCGTCCAAGGGTACTCGACCCCACCTGGAGTATTCTGGATCATTTACCGTCCAAGGGTACTCAATCCCCGATCTATGCTCTACCAAATCCTAACCTGGATGTGGCTAACGTCTCATTCCTTCGACTATGGACAATACATAGCCCTATAGTAGTATAATAGTCCTTAGTAATCAACGTGGACAGACCTCGCCCGAACGCCCCTCGTTATACTCATTCAAACTGACCGTTGGGTGTGAAACCCAATACTCGATCGAGTATCTACCTATACTCGATCGAGTATAGGAGACAGTAGCCCCACTGGGGCGAATTTTCAATGCATACCCGATCGAGTACCTACCCATACCCGATCGGGTATAGGAGACAGTAGCCCCTGGCACAAATTTGCAGCAAATACCCAGTCGGGTACTTGCCCATACCCGACCAGGTATAGCAGTTGACTTGGCGGTCAACGCCTGTTTGACTGCCCAAACGAAGTCCGATTAACATGAAATTTTACATGCAAGTATTCTTTGACGTCCTTAATCCAAAAATACCTATTTGGGTCCTTGGAACATCATACATATCAATTTATGATAATTTCACTAATCAAACCTCCAAATCATGTTTTCCAACTATGTTATATTCTTTAACATAACATAACACATGCTTTAATACCATTAATCAATCCATAAAACATATTCTTGATTAATTTAGGTAATATCATGCCTCACACAAAAGTTATAAAGCATAAAGTCGTCTTCTCTACTTAAATGAAGCTTTAATGCGTTCTACCCTTCTTGGTTGAACTCCGATGAAACTCCGGCGAGTTTTGTTGAACTCCGGCGAAACTCCGGCGAAGTATTCCAACTCCGTGGAAATGCTAGGAACACCTTAGGCAAGTTCCTAACAAGGTTTCATCATCATACAACCCATATTAATACAAATAACCTCTAAAAGATTATTTTCCGACGAATCGGTCATAAATATTATATAGACACAATAGCAATATACAAATAAATGTAATAATATTTAAGTAATATTTATATTCATTATCAATACACTTGGCAACACAAATAAATTAATTTAATAGCGAACCTCATGAACAACATTAAAAATCATACATTTGAATTTGTAAAACTTATCTACCAACAAACCCTAACTTGGATTTAGGAGATGATATTGATCTTTGGAGTTACCCTTGGAGAAGCCGGTTGGGTCGGAGTGCTGCTACGGAATATTTTGGGGTTCGGGGGATGTGTTCTGCGTCTGCTAAAGTCACTGGAGGGTGACAGGATTTAAATTAGAAAGTCGTCATCCGGTTTGGAGACTTATAAGTCATCATCTGGTTTGGCGACTTTGAAGTCGCCATCTAGTTTGGTGACTTTGAAGTCGTCATTCAAGTTGGCGTTTTTAATTAACCATGATTAGCTCAGCAGTATATTCGTAAATATTTTTAATAGACCCCTATTTGTGTAAATACTTTTTTAATTCGTATTATTTTGGAGAAAACTCTTAAAAAGATTCACAAGAAACTTAGGAGACTTTTTGGAATCTTTGGATCTCTAGAGAATAAAAATCAGCACATACTATTTTTTCAGTAAATATTACGGAATACGGAGTACTACATATATGCATATGACAAATTTTATTAAGATAAACATTTGAGTAGGGATGAATTCGGAGTATTATTTTTGTAGTCCTTTCTCTGTATAATTGTATGACCCCACAGCCCGACATAGGACTCACGGGAAAAGAATGCAACAGACCGCACCGAATCTATACTCTCGAATGGATAGCTCTGAAGACGTCAGCAACTAGACAATAAGGTTTGTCGCTCCCTACTGCGGCTCCCTTCACCATTTCCGTACGTTTGCGGAAGCCATCAGGTACTACTACCATATCTCTACGCCCACCACTCTGCCTACCGGACCGTTACCAAATCCGGCGCCATCCGAAGTCTCCGGTAACCTTCATCACCGTCCTCCGCAACCGCGATGATCGTTTATCCAACACGGACGGCTGAGATATGCTAGATCCTTTTATTGTCATCCATTTCCGGTCCAAGATATGGCGTCGCCAGCGCAAAAAGATCTCTGAGAGAACTCTGAAAACCTAGCGATCTCTTCCGAACAGTTTGCGACGAGGTTAGATATTTTCCTTTTCCGATTTGACTGTCTCTTAATTATATTCGAATAAAATATGATGAAAGCGCGGCCTGAAATGGGGAGTTGACCAATCTGAAGCTGGCGAGTGAAATTCCTGAAGGTTTAGGTAAGGAGGAGATGAATTTGAGTGCGGACGAAGAATCGGTCCATGAAATTCGTCGTCTCCCGGCGGAAATCGACTGGGAAATGCTAGACAAATCTAGATTTTTCTTCCTCGGCGCCGGCTTATTTTCCGGCGTATCAGCGGCGCTTTACCCCGTGGTGGTGCTGAAAACGCGGCAGCAAGTGGCGGAGTGTCCTCCGCTTTCGTGCATCAAAACGGCGCTCTCTATTGTGAAAAACGACGGCGTTCGCGGGCTATATCGAGGATTCGGGACTTCATTAATGGGCACGATTCCAGCCAGAGCACTATACATGGGTGCTCTGGAGATCACAAAGAGCAGCCTAGGGACTACCACGATCAGGCTAGGGTTTCCGGAGGCGACGGCGGCGGCCATAGCGAATGCTGCCGCCGGTTTGAGCGCTGCAATTGCCGCGCAGCTGGTGTGGACCCCAGTCGACGTGGTGAGCCAGCGTCTCATGGTACAGAGCAATGCCTCAACCAACTACCTCAACGGATTCCACGCATTCCGGAAGATTCTGAGCACAGAAGGGGCGAGAGGGCTGTACAGAGGATTTGGGATTTCGATCCTCACATACGCGCCGTCGAATGCGCTTTGGTGGGCGTCTTACTCTGTTTCCCAGAGGCTAGTCTGGAGTAGCTATGGTCGGGTCCGGACAGGTATGGATTATCGCAGCCCCGACCCGAAGACCGTGATGATTGTTCAGGGTGTCAGTGCAGCCATTGCCGGTGGGGTATCGGCATTGATTACAATGCCTCTGGATACGATTAAGACGAGGGTGCAGGTCATGGACGGCGGTGATGGGCGGAAGGGACCCTCGGTTAGGCAAACACTGAGAAATCTGGTTAAGGAAGGTGGGTGGGGTGCTTGTTACAGAGGGTTGGGTCCGAGGTGGGCATCCATGTCAATGTCTGCCACTACCATGATCACTACTTATGAGTTCTTGAAGCGGCTTTCCACAAAGAATCAGGAGGGTTGAAATCACATCTCACTAATCTTAATCCATGTTTATTATGTGTAGTTTTTCATGGTTTGAGTGTTGTGCGGATTGTTTGACCACTTTGTGGGTAGAGACTGTACAATTGTACATACAAGTATCCTGCTTCTTACTTCTTCTATGAACTTTTTTCTCGTAGTATTACAAATTGTGGGATTATCAAGAAGGATAGAATTCTTCTAAAAAATCAAGAAGGGTAGAATTATGTCTTTGATATTGGATTATTAAATTACGAATAAGTTAAAACGAATAAAGGAACAAATATATTAACAAATTTAGTATGAATAAAAGACCCATCATCATCATTACCCTAGTATCGCAAAAGCTTCCCGCAGAGAGAGGTAAGGGAGGGTCGGATGTACACAACCCTGCATAGAAAGAGAATGTTTTGTGATAAAAGATCAATGAAATGGAAAATTTCCGACAAGCATTGCATGCCTTCAAAGGTACTAATTTAATCGTTCTAAAATTGGTACATGGAAATGCAGTATCGTACTATGGTTATTAAGAAAAATAGAGTTACGTTGAAAAATAGAGTTATGTCACTATGTGATTGATAATGTATTACTAGGTAGCAAGTGTAAGTAGGAAGTACCAATTAGTACTTCCTCCTTAAGGTGTATTATTATGAAGGTCTCCATCTTTTTATTGAAAAACAGAGACTTGATTTTTGCATCCCACTTGTTTATTTAAATTTAGTGTAAACCTCTTTATTTTTAGAGAAAACTATATAAGAAACTTGGTAATCATGCGCTCAGTACTAAAAAAAACCCTCAATTGAATACATAAACTACAAGAGATAAATAGAATCCTTCTTTTTTGAAGGTTACATCCAATAATATAAATCTATGTGGGTAATGTGGCTATCATTTTTTCATTTACCCATTGAGAATGTTATGGTACTCGCAATAAGGGATGATAATGTTCATGGTGATGCATTTGATTGGTATAAATCATCATTTATTATTTGTTTACATTTGAATTGCTCAATTAATAATATGCATACGAGTCTTCTAATATCTTCAAAATGAAAATTATACCCTTGTAGTGAAAAGACACTCAAATGACTCAATTTAGTATACATACTAGTAAAAAATACTCGTATTGATCTCTAGATTTTCAGGAAGATCAATATCACTAATGATCTAATCCTTGCAACCAGTGGCGGATCCAGGAAATTGAACTATTGGGGGCGGAACAGAATACAATGAGATATCTAAATAACAAAAAATTGTAAAACAATACATAAGAATTTATAGACTAAATATAAAGTATATTAAAATACAAAAAAACTTTGAAAGGTGAATCACAATTGGTGTCTTCAAGAGCAGAGATAAGGGGGCTAACCGGGCCCTGGTCCATCCTAAATTTCTTTGAATTTTTTATATCAGTCTACCCCAAGCTTCGATCCTAGCTACGTCCATGGGTGTCTCTGAATTTGGCCACGTCCTTGAAGTATTTACTTCAATACTAAAGTTAGTAAGTTACTGTACAAACACAATAACACTTCAATAGATTATAATATTTTTTTGAGAACAAATTAGGATGTAATACTATTTATTATACATCTCTTTCTACTCCATATAAAGTAAACAAGACAATCAATCTTAATTCTATTTTCATCGTAATACTATTTATAGGTAGTTGCAAATTTTCTATTGTTAATTTTAACTTACTAAAGTTAGTAAGTTACTGTACAAACACAATAACACTTCAATAGATCATAATTTTTTTTTTGAGAACAAATTAGGATGTACTACTATTATTATACGTCCTTGGGTGTCTTTGAATTTCAACTTTTGAAAGATATTTTATAATTTCATTTGTAACAATTCCAAATACATCTCTTTCTACTCCATATAAAGTAAACAAGACGATCAATCTTAATTCTATTTTCATCGTAATACTATTTATAGGTAGTTGCAAATTTTATATTGTTAATTTTAACTTACTATAGTTAGTAAGTTACTGTACAAACACAATAACACTTCAATAGATTATAATATTTTTTTGAGAACAAATTAGGATGTACTACTATTATTATACTTCAATTGTTTATTTATTATATCTAAACAAAACATTAAAATGGCTTGATCATCAAATCTACACATAAGCAAATTAACAATATAACACATACCGAGTACAAAATAGGAAGTATACAATAATCATTAGTCAGCAAATTACTGAAATAGTGAATACTTAATAGACTTACAAGGGAAAGTGATAAACACACTTTTGCAATTTATGAGGAGCGGAGCTCGATTGGATTATTAAAGCTGAAGTATACAGGGTATTATTTCAGCATTTGAGCATTGCCGCATTGAGTTGTTGGGGGCATTTCACTTTTTTTATTGGGGACAATTCTATTGGTCTATTTTTTCCCTAGTATAATATAGAGTATTAGTGCTAGTTTATTGGGGGCAGCTGCCCCCCTTACCTAAGCTGTGCATCCGCCCCTGCTTGCAACTCATTATCTTAAGAATAAATAAATGAAGAAACAATAATGAGATATTACCCAAAATAGGAGTAAAACAGTTTGAAAATTTCAAAATAGAACTGTCATGTTTTTATTGCCAAAATAGGACTAACTACTGCCATGTTTTAGCAGTACCAGACTTCAAACATGGCAGTATTTTCTAAACATGGCAGTAATTAGTCCTATTTTGGGAATAAAAAATATGACAATCCTATTTTGGAATTTTCAAACTTTTTTTACTCCTATTTCGGTAACTTTCCCAACAATAATCTTACAATGCGAAAGCTGCATGATTAGTTCGATTAATCGTGGCCAAACTTATCGCTCAAACACAAGGTCCACAATAATGGATACTTTTCATCCTTCAAGACGATATTTGGATTCAAATTAGCTATTAATTTCTAAAAAAATACTATCGTTTCAATCAACTTTCACTCCCTTTCTTCCAAAAAATCAGATTTAACTCCCAGAGATAAAAAATGAGATGAAATAGAGAATCAGATATTTTCTGTCTAGAAATAGAACTCATGAAAGGAAGAAGATCCTTTGAGAGTTTGAGGTGTATATTTTAGTCAAATTCTATCGTAACCTCATGCTATAGGTGTATCCATTAGAAAAAGGAAAAGTTGGAGAAACTCTAGTTTCCAACCTAACAAATTACTTCAATTTAAAAAAAGTACTAGTATGAATATGAATTAAATGAAGAGCGAATGATTCCCAGAAAATTTTACTGTGCATCAATCTTAGCAAAGGTTTTGGTGCATCTCACACACCTGGCACTACTTTATTGCCGTGTCTTCCATATCACTACATAGGATTAAATAGCTTAAATTGCAATTTAGTACATATTGGTATTAATTGCGGAAATTGCGTTTTTTTTACATATTCTTACCCAAAAACTTGAAATGGTACATTGCTCACTTTTCTTAAAAAATCACGGAAACACATTGACATGACAAAATACTTCATTAAATAAAGAAAATTCTGTAATTAAATTTCCTAATATTATTTTGGTAAGTAAAATTTAAAATGCAATTTTCTTTCATGTTTTTGAAACCTCATAACACTAATGAACTCGTAATATCAACAAATTCCATATTTCCATTGGCTTAAAAGGCGTCCTACGATCACGTTCTGAAACGGGCTCCACCAAAGAGCAGCACAAATCATCGTACAAATCACAAATCACAAATCACGTTCTGAACGAGACTTATCGCTAAACATAGACTCAAAAGTACTTATTTATTAAAAAACTATTTGATTATTAACTATCTAATTATTGTACTTAATTATATAAATAATTATTACTTACACTAAAAAACTTGGAAGTCTTTTATTAGAATAGTCTTTTAAGTTATTACCTACTCTATTTTTATTGATTAAATAAATCTTAAATATAAAAATGTAAATAAACAATTTGGAACTTGAAAACCAAATCGGGTTGGAATCGAAACCGTCAGTTTTGGAACTAGTACTGTGCGGTTCCGGTTCCCAGAAATCCGGAACCGCGAACCGGCAGTTTGGTTCCGATTTCCGGTTCAAAATGCTTATAGGTCTATATATTCCAAGGAACTGACTCCAAACATCATGATTAACCACGGTTTTAAAAATCTCTCTAAGAACTCGACTAATCCCCATCTAGGCGTTAGGCAGTAGCCGGGTGCCCCGACATTATGCTAGGTGTGTAATCGATCGGCTAGGGTGTCTCGATCGAGTCATGGAACATTTTTTTGCTTTTATTTTCTATTTTCTAGGAGACATATGTTCATTTAACTTTGACCACAAATATGAAAATTGCTACTTATAAATCTTTATATAATATAAAGGAATTTGGGTGGACAATTGAATTTCTCCAATTATTCCCGCCTATTCCCGCATTGAATCATTCCTCAAGTCATAACATTAAATTAAGTTATCTTTATATATTTATATAATATAAAGGAATTGGGTGGACAAATGAATTTCTCCAATTATTCACGCCTATTTCCGTATTAAATCATTTTTCAAGTCATAACATTAAATTAAGTTATTTATTATATATGGTAAGCAATGCATAATACTAAAGGAGATGCTTGAATGTGAGATGCATGCTTGACCAACGCATGAGACCTAAATGATCGAGGTATAATAACTTTTTTTACTGAAATTGAGCTACAATAACTTAGTATATCAATTTTATAATAATTTAATCAAAATAGGCATACCATTCAATCCGCTACAAGAAAATTGACTTTTTGGGATTAACAATTTTCGACCAACGTTAAATTTACTTGAATTATAATGAAGATATGCGTTTTATGGACCATATATATTGTCGTACCACATGTATGCGATCACAAGGGTAAATCTTTATATAATATAAAGGAATTGGGTGGACAAATGAATTTCTCCAATTATTCACGCCTATTTCCGTATTAAATCATTTTTCAAGTCATAACATTAAATTAAGTTATTTATTATATATGATAAGCAATGCATAATACTAAAGGAGATGTTTGAATGTGAGATGCATGCTTGACCAACGCATGAGACCTAAATGATCGAGGTATAGTAACTTTTTTTACTGAAATTGAGCTACAATAACTTAGTATATCAATTTTACAATAATTTAATCAAAATAGGCATACCATTCAATCCGCTACAAGAAAATTGACTTTTTGGGATTAACAATTTTCGACCAACGTTAAATTTACTTGAATTATAATGAAGATATGTGTTTTATGGACCATATATAT